GGTGCTATTATGTACATTTTAGGTGCTATTATGTACATTTCAGGTGCTAATATGTACATTTTAGGTCCTAATATGTACATTTTAGGTGCTAATATGTACATTTTAGGTGCTAATATGTTCATTTTAGGTGCTAATACTGTATATTCATTTTAGGTACTAATATGTATTTTAGGTGCTAATAGGCCTATGTACATTTTAGGCGCTAATGTGTACATTATAGGTGCTAACATGTACATTTCAGGTGCTAATATGTACATTTTAGGTGCTAATATGTACCATTAAGGTACCAATATGCAGCCTTTAGGTAACAGCCCCGGTGACAGCTTTTGTACCTTTTTTTCTGAGAGTGTAGGATAAGAACTCGTTGGATTGGATAACTGGACTAACCAGCTGACCAATCACATCACACAGCATCTCAAATGTTGGTTCGGTCATTCTGAAATGCCTAAACCAAAGTCTGTAATCAAAATAGTTGGGTTTCATAACGTCCCAGAGGTGTGTCTCACACGATTGCGTTCCCAAACACCATGAACAGCGTTAAATGTGTTTCATCTGCACGACAGTGGCTTCCACGATTGCAGCAACTTCCATTTATATAACAGGAAATTTGCACCAATTCCCCAATTTGTTCTCTTGAACACATAGAACCGAAACGCAGCCTTTTATTCACAAATGTTTAATGCGATATTCCAAGTTTGCGCTACAATTAGCATAGCCTATGATGATCAATTTCCACAATTTGATGATGATTTCCACAATTTGATGATGATCAATTTTTATTAACATTGTAACTATATTTTGTCTTATATAAATTTCTAATTTCTAATACCACAGCTGAGGGAGTGACGCCAAATTTGACATCTTTCTGTCTTTTGACCACCGTTATCAAGCTCTCAAAAAATATTTTGCCTCTTTTGGAAAGTCACAGAAATGTATTGTGAATTTTGTAGCTATTTGAGCAAATGGGAATGCTAAAATGATATTTTCTGTAGTTTCCGCTCACCACTTTACCCAACTATGGCGACTTCAGCTTCTAAAACACTGGAAATGTGAGAAGGGTTTATTGGGGTGAGGATGAAGTGAGGCGTGGATGGGAATGAATTCTCAGCAGTGTTTGTGGTCAGCATTTCTAGCCTGAGACGGCCTATGGGACAGGGGACAGAGGAGGCCTGGAGGACTGTCACATGATACGAGAGAGGAGGGGGACTGGGAATCTGATGTTTCCTGCTGAAAAGCGCCTTGTTGACAAGATTAAAAACTCTCTGATCTCAGAGAGTGGGAAAGGAGAGAGGTAAAGACACATTGACAACAGACAGAGAGTAATACCTTTCCCTCTCTGAAAGAGTCAACAGGTAACCAAAGAAAACAGGGAAAAGGGAGCAGAGGTGATGAGAACGAAATAAAGCGAGAGGACAAGTGACAAATCAACGAACTAGGGGGAAAGTTATTCATGAAGTAAATATGAATACTCAAGAAATATTCATTTGTTCCATAGAGAAACTGTTTTAACGATAATGTACAGCTTTCAAAACAGTGCCACCCTGAACTCTGAGACTTGAGTTGGTTTCTATCCACAAGTTTCCTACGCCCCATGAGGCCTTGCGTCAAAAGTGGGCGCGACTTCCGGTTGGAAGTAAACAAAGCGCGATTTGACATGCTTGACACTCGTTCATTCAACAGTTGACAGTCATTCAAGTTATAGCGATCCAAACTAGCTAACGATGTGGGAACACAACCTCAACGAAATTAAAAAGGGTGAAATAACAGTACCTTTACCCTCCGCAGTAGTTGATTGGGAGTATTATAATAACATTATTAATTATCAATACTCATCAAGGCATGGTGACAGACAGATGTGCGAGCTGACAAACAATTCAAATAAAAAATACACACTTAGTCATTGTGCTTTGGAGTTTATTCAAAATTATAAATGAATGTGCTGCTTGAATACATTAACTGGCACATTTGGTATTCTGTCAACACAGGCTTTGATCCTGAGTTTAGGTGCAACATCAGTAGCGAACAGCCAATCACATGCTGATAGAGTTTATAAAATATAAAGAATTAAAAAAAAATGTACACAGGAAGATTCGTCGTCTTTTGGGAGGTGATGGAAACTAACGTTACAGTTGTTGGCAGGATCAGAGACGGGCTCTGGCAGGATCACTCGTTTTCAGCTTATGTTCAAAACAATCACGTTTAAGCCACTGAACTAGTTTAGTCCGGTTATACATACAACCGCGAACAGCACATGTTGTCCCTGAGCTCCGTAACGACATCTCTCATAAAGATTTGCGTCTTTAAATAGTAAAATAATTCTCCGAAAAACAGCTAGCATCTTCGCTAACTAACACACAAAATACCATTGGAATGCTACTTCCGCCGCGTCACCGGAAGTTTCACCCACTTTATTTTTTACAGGAGCGCCCCTCGGAAACTTGTGGATACTCTCTTAACAATTTATATATTTGAAATTTTGCAATACACTTAAAGTATACTTTGTTTATATTATATACAATCATAGTCATTTTTGACTAAACTCAATAATTTGCAACGCCTTATGGGATCAATAGAGTTCATTCCCTCAGAAAAGAATTTAAGTGTCTTTTTTCTCTATTTACTTCAAATCAAAGTATCTAATGTTGTGGTTCATCTCAGAGATGTTTGGTATGATTCAAGACTCTTTATTAAAGAATTTCATGAAACCTCTATGGAGAAAATGAAAGGAAAAAAAAATGACCTAGAACCAAAATAGCAGAAAGAAGAGATGAAGAAGTGAAATGCAAAGACAAGTGTTCCCAAACCTAGTGAGCTGCCTTGCTGTTTATTTAATAACAGTAGCAATTTCACAAGAGCCATAAATATGAATTAGACGGGATTCCAATATAATCTGGCATTAGCATGTTGCACTTAATATTCATGCATGTAAACTAAAGCTGTGTGCTAATTTAGAGGCTGCATCCTTTAAAGGCCACGTGCCTAGAGAGGTTTGTCCTGACAGCTTCCTTTGACGACTGGCAATAACGTTTCAACTGGACCTTTTTGAAAGTTATATTCAACTGTCTGAAAACAAAACGCCACCTTCACCTTGATCCATACATGTACCTGATAAAGAGTATCAACTATCAATAAAACCACATGTTGGTAAGATATGTCAACTATTGTATTGTTAGATATTAAAGTATGTTGAAACTCAACAATACTTACATTTTCTCCTCATCGCCGCACAATGAAACTCATTCTATCCTTCATGGCCCAAAAAAAAGGACGCATTTGTAAGTCGCATTGAAAGAGCCTTACGAATCACGCCGCTCTCTAACGCATTCGGCCTTCGACGCAGCCTTTGAAGGATTGACCCTTCGAAACGGGACATAGGCTAGCTTATGCTTTATGCTCAAAGTATTTGTGTGCTGCAATGCATTCTGGGTTTGCTTTATCCATGCAAAGCTGCAAAAAACGAGGCGACTTAGAAGGAAACATTAAGGGTGTGTTCACACTTGTAGTTCGATTCTCTTGGTTCTTTTGGTCCGGACCAAAAAAAGAAAATAATACATTTAGTCCTGGTTCACTTTGTATTCTCACTGCCATTAAAGGTACACTGTGTGATTTTTACCCCCATCTAGCGGTGAAGAGGTATATAACCATCCAGTGAATATTAGTTTCTGTTCCTCTCAATTACGATTTCGTTTTAACTCCTACGGTGGCCAATGTAGTCCAAGATTAACATGGCTTCCAGTTCGACCTCGTCCATGAGTGTTAACTCAAACGTAAACGCGAAAGGCGAAGCTTGAATTAACGGATATGTCCCTCTTTGGCTAATGTACATTCAAGATGGAGGGGCAACATGGCGACCGACATTAGAACCCCTCACCCGTATGTATTTTCAATGGCATATTATACACTCACGAGAAACGAAGTAAATATACATTAATGAGCACATACGTTTTTGAAAGAACTAAGTGTTTTTAGCTAAGAATAAACTAAAAGACTTACACAGTGTAGCTTTAAGACAAAACTAATGATACAAAGAAAAATCATCCAAAACAATGCTAAATGCACCCGTTGTGTGTGCGTAGCCTGCATATGATGGTATTTTGACCAGCTGAGAACTCGTGAAGAGCTTATAAAACGTGTAGGAGTCAAAACAGCGGCAGAAATCCAAATCGAAGATCTGCTGCGAGAAGACGATGTTCTGAAGCCTGTACCGAACTGTGACGGGCAACATCGCGACTTTATCGAGAACAAACAGGTATGCTTAAGCATTCTGTCGCATCTGGAGACACCACATCCTGTTTTTGGTTCATTTAGAGGTTTTCTTCCATCTTTTCAGCGATCTAGGTCCGCTTGTTTGGTGCGAACTAGGGTTTGGATGGCAGAGTTCACACTTAATTGAACGATCGAACGAAACCTGCCAAGTGTGAATAAACCCTAAGTTGCCGTCTACCTTTTGGAACAGCCGAAATGCGGTCTCGGTAGGCAGCTCAGTAGGTTTTGGAGCAGAGCTACAGAGGACAACAACTAAAGACAAATTACCATTCTTCCCCTTCAGGATGCAAAGATGCAGACCAAACAGGCAGCAGGCAGAAAAGGAAAGATTAAAAGAGAGGGAAAGAAGAAAAGAAAAATAAAGACAATAAGACAAATGAGACGGCTGTTCTCTGCACTGGCGACTACAGTGGACACAACATTTCTGATGACAGAGCAAAAGTTTCAATTAAATCTTCAGGATAAAGGGAATTTGGTCATATAATCCATTATATCATCATTGGCACTTTCATATTGATTGGTACTAATTGTTTGATTCTTGTATTTTTTTTTGGGGGGGTGGGGGGTTATGGATTCATAAATAGTATCCATTTATGGTATCCTACAAAAGACGCATTTGTGAGTTTGGTTTTAAGCAGTGAAAACAAAATAAAAAATAAATTCAGAATGAGATCCAAAAAGTACAATAAAGGTGAAAATAAACCTGCCCTTTTTTTGAACTACTAGCCTCTTACCAGACAGGGTCTTCATTGACGGCATCATCGTACCAGAGGATATAGAGACAGAAAAGCCCCACAATTAAAGCATGGACAGTGGACACGAGCCTGAGGACAAAAAAAAAAAAAAAAAAAACAACTCCGTTATTCCCAGACAGAGAATCATTTGGATCTTGAACCTGAAAAAAAGTTTAAAAAAAAAGCTTGGGAAACTATTTCAACATTTTACTTTAGGAACTTTCCACTGAGTTTTCAAGCAACATTTCAGTAATGGCAAACTCAGGATTGGGCATCATTCAGAATTGAATTGAGAATGCCTTTTAATTAAATTCCTGGATTTTAATTGCACTTGACTTAAGGTAGCTGGATTTAAAGATAGAAATTCACATAACTTCAACATATTTCCCCGCCATTGACGTCAATTTTGGGCAATCCATGTTTTACTGCAGTATACACGGTAAGGCGAGCTATCTTCTTAAAGAGAACAGAATCTCTGGATCCAAAAAACAAGTGAAGAAGAAGCGGTAGAAGCATTGCTTACGAACATGTAAACGAATGCAATCATCAAACTGCATATTAATCAAAACTGCCTAACGATACCTAAAGAAAAGCAGAACCCATAAAGAGATATACACTGAAAAAAATGATTTTTTTGGTAAGGTAAATACTACTGAAAAAAAACAATGTAATTTACAAGAAAAAGTTAGTTCAGGCAAGAATTAAAAAAAAACTAATTAAATTCCATATCAGTACTTAGTTCAAGCGAGTAGAAATGAAAGCATAAATATGAACTCAAGAAAACAAAGTAAAAATTACTCGACTTTTCTGATACTGGGGTTCCCATCATGCACTGGACCTTGAATAATTAATGAGGCTAATTTTTCACTGGTTTCCAGCTGTATTTACACTGTTTTATCATTGCTTTTGTTGTCAGGATTAGATTTAGTAACTTGCCATTTTGTGACATTTTGAGGAAATTTTCTGCTCAAAATGACACATTCAAACACAAAAACGATCCATCAAATGTTACCGTCATTGTGTATTGTCTACCAAGTATTGAGGTCTTTGCATTCACATCATGTTTAACATCTGCCATGATGAAGTATAAATTACTTAGGCTAAGTAAAACACATACTATAAATGACTGGTATAATTCAATAAAATTGTTTGAGTCAAATGTAATTCAAAGGAAATTACAACTAAATCGATATTAATCAACCTTTTACCAAGTTACTTATATTCTTTGTTACTTTCACTTAACTAAAGTAAAGTTTACTTAATTCCATATTCCAAGTAAATTTTAACTTAAGATTTCTAATTAAAGCTACTGATAAATATGTTTAGGTTTTTACTTGGCAAATCTTTGTAAGTTTACTAGCATTTTCTGAGTGGAAAAAGTTGCCTAGGTTTAGCAAGTAAATCCTACTCCACATTTTTTTCAGTGTAGGACTGTTGATGGACACGATCCACTCCGTCTGTTGTGATCATCGTTCACAATCTAATCTGGATGTAGTCTTTGACAAAAAATAAATAAATCTCTCAGCTTTTTATTCAAAATTATGCTTTTTTGTTGCTTTTAAGTGTCGATAAAAAATGAGTTAAAGTCTGTTTTTAAAGCAGAGGCTGTTCTTTCTGTTCTCTCTGTTTTGTATGTTCAGATATTCATAAATGCTGGCAGTGAAAGTTGTGAGAAAATGTTGAATTACTAGTGTAATTTTTAAACAGAAAAGGAACTACATACATATCGTCAAAACAAACTTTAAATGATGGCTAGATAGTCTTGTTTGAGAGTTACTTGACATTTGTTGGTTTTATAGGTCTTAGAGAAATTCATTTAGTTGATTTATTGACTAGGTTGGAAGAACTCATTTCAGAAATTCATCTTCCCGTCATTTTAAATATCAACTTCCTGTGAGAATTCAGTTCAGTGATTGACAAGTAAATCCAATTTCCATAGCATAAATCGAAAGTGAGAGAATTCTTAAATTCTGAATTTTGCACAACCATGCTGGTACACAAGTACACAATCAGTCATTTAATTATAGATATGCATATCCCATTGCAAGCTTCTTGAACTGAAGACAGTTTAGTTGGTGAGACGAGATTGAGACCTAGAATTTTCTTTTAAAATTGGCTGGGTAGAAAGAAATCAATATTATGAATCTCACAATCACACATAGATAACATGGTGCTGACACATGTGGATATAGTATCTGTGTTAGCAGAAAGTGAATGAACTATGATTTGATCTGATCCATTAGTTTGTTTGAACATGGACTGTAGACCTTTGAATCTGTTATCTGAGTGTTGAGAAACTCTCTAGGAATCTTTTCCTCATTTCACAGAAAGTAAGCAAGTTTGACAAGTTTGACAGGAAACACTTTGCTATCAAATTAAATTCTTATTTTCATCCCATGATATTGTGAATAAGGTTTCATATTGAGGTGCAGGAAGGGTTGTTTGGGTCAGAATGTTTTTAACCCAACAGTTGGGTTTGTCCCAATTTGACCCAAACTATTTTTTTTTTTTTTTTGTGTGTGTAAATATGTATGCTAATTTACAACAGATAAACAAACTACTGTTCAAAATATTTTGGGTAACACTTTAGGGTCCAATTCTCACTGGCTTTTGCCTCAATAAACTCCTACTTACTGCTTATTAATAGTTAGTAAGGCAGTTGTTAAGTTTAGGTATTGGTTAAGGGATGTAAGATATGGTCATGCAAAATAAGGAATTATTATGTGCTTTAAAGTACTATACACAGCCAATATTCTAGTAATATGCATGCCATGCTAATAAACAACTAGTTAATAGCGAGAATTGGACCATAAACTAAAGTGTTAGCATATTTTGTGTGTATAATTATAAATGTATTATTGTACCATTGTTAAAAAGTTGTGGATGCTAAACAAACTTAAAAAAACCCAAATGCAGTCTTTATAGGGAATGCGGTAGGCTGTGTGCTTTCATTACAGCGTCAAAGCATTTAGATTTGCTGACAGAATATCATCTTAGTTTCATCCTCTAAACACGTCATGACTTTTAAACCAATGGAGAATGTCAAAACTCAAAACCAGAACGGGGGTTATAGTTTGTTCCAAAACCAATTAATCATCTTGTGTGCTTTACCTCGAACCATTTAACGTGCTGTACAGAGAACTATCTGTTCCTGACTAAGTGGTGTAAGGTCAAAGTTAACCAGGTTCATAAGATAAAGAGTTTGAATTTCACAATTCAGTCCAGAGATCGCTTGACCTCGCTTGTGTCGGCCTACACTCATGCACTACGACGTTACCAACGATATTTGAAGGCTTGTTTATACATTTGAAGGTGTTCAACAACAAATAAAAATTCTCTCATATGACAGGATTCAGAAAGGTGAAAAGTTAAACTTTGGCAATATTATTTTCTTCAAAAACAATATAATGAAATATTCATAATTAACTGGCCGCAGATTCGGAACGGTTACATCAGCTTACTCTTAATTCTAGGATATTTAAGGGATTTATCTAAAATCCATTAATAAAACTTGTCTTTAAAGTGATTTATTGGATTGTTTTATATATTTAATCAAGTCAAGTCACCTTTATTTATATAGCGCTATGTAAAATACAGATTTCAAAGCAGCTTCACAGTAATAAACAGATTTTTTTGTAATTTTTTTTAATTATTTGATAGGGACAATGCACATTAATGAACATCTGCATTGAAGCAACAAAAACCGACGCGAACATGCCGGATTATAGCCACAAGGCTATCTGGAGGAGCTTGCTACTTAAAAAAAAGGCTAATAGCGTGTCAAATATAGTTTTAAGATTTAATTTTAATTTGTTATATTAGACAAGGCAGCCTCAAGTGCTGGATAGAATACATGTATACATTATACTACTATTTTAAGAAGAAAAAAAAGTAATGTTCTCAGAGAATATTTGAGAAATTAAAGGGATAGTTCACTTTGAAATTCATTTTTGGTATGTTTTAGCTTACCTCAAGGGCATCCAAGATGTAGGCGTCTTTGTTTCCACAGTATTTTCAATTTTGATATTTTTAGGTCAAACCGTTCTTGTCTGTCAGTCATATAATGGAGGCCTATGGTCACCACCTCAAAGAGCATGCACAGACATGTCCAAATTAAACATGATTTAATGACTCATAAATGCAAGTACACATTGATGGCCTAAGACACCAAACGAGCGGTTTGTGTGAGAAAACGAACAGCACTTATATCGTTTTTACCTCTTGTAACCACAACCACGTCCAAGTGATCTGAGGGCGCGAGTGCTTTGAGAGCACGGGCTGTGGCTAAAAACGATATAAATACTGTTTGTTTTCTCACACAAACTGCTCATTTGGTGTCTTAGGCCATCAATGTGTACTTACATTTACGAGTCATTAAATCATGTTTAATTTGGATATCTCTGTGCATGCTTTTTGAGGTGGTGACCATAGACCTGCATTGTATGACTGACAGACAAGAACGGTTTGACCTAAAAATATCAAAATTGAAAATACTGTGGAAACACCTACAGACACATACATCTTGGATGCCCTTGAGGTAAGATAAAACATACCAAAAATAATTTCAAAGTGAACTATCCCTTTAAGAATTTCTCAAGCCCAGGTTCTTAGAGCTTAATCCTAAAATTTGAAGATAATGTTAATCTAGACATTCATGCTATATTTCACAATATGTGACTTCCTTCAGAACTGCTTTTGTGTCTATGTTTAGGTCTATATTTGTTTCCATTGTTTATCCATACATGTATAACTAGGCATACCAATCTATTTCTATTTATACTGAAAACCCATCCATGCATTTCTCCCACATTTCTGTTGATTTATTTTCAGCTCATACCTGGAGTTCCAGTCGTTGAGTTTGTGTGGTGGAAGTTTCCCATAACCGTGTGTGAAGTTGGAAGACAGAACCGGACTGACGCAGGAGAAGAACAGCTGGAACCCCACGAAGCTGCCGACCACCACATACACCTCTCTCATATCCATCGCTCACCTGCACGAGAGACATCACAACACACACCGTCCGTCACACTTGCGCCCGCTCAGCCAATGATCTCTCACAATGTTGACTGCGTTTGTGTGCAATCTCTTACCAGACAAGAGCACGACTGCTCATTAATTTCACAAAGACTGCGTGTTAAGAATTAATCTGTTTGCGAGAAAAGAGGTACTGACAAAGAAAGTAATTAAACGTGTAATATCGTGAAAGCACTTCATTGTTTTCCAAAGAAGATTATGACGGAGGGAAAAAGTGATGGAGAATGTGAGAGCAGGAACAGAAAGACAAACTGTAAATACATTTAGTACTTTTGAAAATGGTAATAATTACATATCTTCTGAAAATTTATTTTTTACGTCTCTGTTTACGCTAGCTAACAACAATAGTCAAGTTTGTCAAATTTTTAAAAGTAAAATGAAATTATCATTTTATTTATTCATTCTTAAAAATAAAATATTTATTCCTCTCATTTTCTAATAAGAAATAAGAATACAAATGTTGTTTTATTTCTTTCTTTAAACAACACTTAAAAACAATCTTAAAGTCGGGATCACATCCAAGTTTGTTTTCTAAAATCCCTTAAATCCTACTTGTCTTACAGGAAAGATGTTTAATTTAGGGCTGTGAAACGATTAATCGCGATTAATCGCATCCAAAATAAAAGTTTGTGTTTACATATTATATGTGGGTGCACTGTGTATAATTATTTTATATAACTATAAATACACACACATGCATGTAGGCCTGTAATTAAGAAAAAAATGTATTTATGTATAAAATATTTATATTTATATATAATATAAATCTATATACATGAAAATATTTCTTAAATATACAAGCATGTGTGTGTATTTATATATACAAAATAATTAGCCTATACACAGTGCACCCACAAAAAATAAGTAAACACAAACTTTTATTTTGGATGTGATTAATCGCGATTAATCGTTTCACAGCCCTAGTTTAATTTATTGAGTAGTTTCAAATATTAATCATTACAAGATAACATAATCATCTAGAAAAAAAAATTACCAGATTAAAAATGAAAAGACAGTTAGTCACACATTTTACATAAAACAATGGTTGTGATGGGCTTGCTGTATATGTTAAGACTGTTAAGATTTACCAGTGTAAAGCACCGTGTTGGCGCGAGAGCAGTCGTTGATGATATTTTGTGAATAAAATAGTAAATCGTGTTTTTTATGCAAACAAAGCCCAACTGAGGTGAAACCACTGATATCTGGGGCTTCAAAGTGGTAGTTGCGTAAACTGTCAACAGAGGGAAAGAAATCTCTGCGATTTCATCAAAAATATCTTCATTTGTTTAACAAAGATGACTGAATCATGTCTTATGGGTTTGGAGTGACATGAGGGTGAGGAATTAATGACATTTGGATGAACTAATGCTTTAAAAGAATTATGAAAACAAAATCAAGACATTTTTAGCAAAAACAACTACAGGAAACGTCTCATATCGAAACGAAAAATGTGCGCCAGAGGCTAGACTATAGGAATGCAATGTGTGTGTGTGAGAGAGAGAGACTCATTATAGAGAGGGGTCACTGTCCCCCAGCATGCTGAAGAGTCATACTGAGTCATCTGGTATTTTTCAAGCTGCATCACTGCATCAAGCTAACACACACACACGCTTAGAAATACTAACTTGTGCATCAATGTCTTTGCAATTAAGCATTTCTTCAAACTGCTTCAGCAATAAAAACTTATATTAACCTCATCAACCATATATATCTATATATTTCTTTTTACATGCATTAATAGTTTCCAAATACGTTCTTCCACATAAAAAGTTTGGCTGTTCATTTCAATCTCACGCAATTACTTGAACTTCTATTGGGAAACCTCTCATGATTGCATCTAACACAGAAACAATGGGCTCAACCGCACTAATCCCACCAAAAATGTGGGTAAACATGTACTTTATTAAGATTAAACTAACAAAGGTTTAAATCATTTACCCAGGTACTGATGAGATTGCAACAGAAGGAACAGATTGGGTCATGATGATATCAGCACATGATGTCTTTCTCTAATCTAGTAACCACCAGTCTCCTGTTACCCCAACTCAACACTTCCATTGTAAATCTATTTACAGACAAAAAAAGGTGACTGGCAACATGTGATCTCCTCTAGGGAGGGCACGTACGGAGCACATACTGTACTGTAGCGTGACGGGGTTGAGAGGGAATGGGCCACAGGTAACCTTTCAACAACAGACAATCGACCAACACATAAATTAGATTGATTTAGGGAAAAATGCACAAATGGATGTTAATTCCACAACATGATACACTAGCTGATGTTTCAATAACAACAAACCATGTGCATGTAAGTGGGTTCTCAAAGGTCACAGTTAAACTTTTAATATTCCCACTTGATAGGCCTATCACTATGAGGTCTTAATAGAGTTTGAACTTCAGTTTAGGCTTGACTTCATTAAAAGTGTCTTATGGTTGACTGGTGTTTACAATATGTCGATGTACGTCATTATACATGACCCACGCTAAAACACCTGGAAACAAATGGTACTTGCCAACACAAAATCTAAACTAGTAATCTTTTAGTGGAAAAACATGAGAAATTGATTTTTTTTTCTACATTTACTTGTTCTGGAATAATATCTAATAGATCATGATCTAAAAAATGTAAATGTTATATATATGAAAAAGTGAAAGTAATACTGAGGACAGCAAATCTTTGTTACATAAACATACCAATATTTTTTTAATGTTCTTTGGAAAAAGTGCTGAGGAAAAAAGTGCTATTTTTATATAGGCTTTTCATGTCTGTGTGTAAGGAAATTAACTAAACACATAATCATAAAATCAATCACACCCACATATTTTACATCTTAAGAAGAGGCTGTGCGAAAGAAACGTGTGACAAAGGCAAAGCCAGCAATCACGCGAAATTATGCGGAAGCTCGTTCCGCTGAGCAGGTCTAGTTTCGCAGGAATAACCAATGAAAAAATGACAATTGTAAGTTTGAATTCTACATTCACACATTCTCCGAAACATGAAAGAAAGCGCGACTGCGCCATAATACCACAGTGCGTCATAATGCGCTGCATAATAATGATCTGTGTTACGTTAACCGTCCCCGATTCCCAAACTCGCGAACAATAACAAAGCCCACACGCAGTGAATGAATCCAGTCGCTTGAAAATACGTTGCATGTGCATTGCGTAAGAACATTCATCACACGTAGCGACCTGAATGAGTGTCCAAACCAACTCTAGCGCGCTAAACTTTTCTATTCATCTGTCGCGCTAACAATGGCCATGTAAACAGGCTAATGCATGTGACAGGTGCAGAGAGCGATGCTTCTGTACACACACACACACACACACAAGCTTTTCGAATGACATTTACAGTTTGCTTCACCTGATACGAGTCTCATAGGGCTGTGTAAACGTGTCCAGATCCTGTCGTCTTCTTTCTTTCTTCTGTCCACGAACCCAGTCTTATTTCGATGGCGACGGCTAGCGAGCGCTTAGCCCACACGCTGTCTTTAAAACCACACGTCTTCAGGGGGCGAACGGACGAATAAACCGGTATTTCTGGCGCGAGGCCATTTCAGACATTTAACAAACACGCAAAGATTTCGTAAACCTCCACGGAGTCTGCAGCACCAAACACTGCATTTCTTCACCGTATTGACAGGCTCCGTGATGACGTCGGCACTGACCCCGCCCCTCACCCTCCCCTAATGAAGCCCCGCCCACCGCACAAATACACTACCTGATGAAATCCCCCAGAACATGCAAACTCATTCTGTTGTTCATCAAATTCAAATCTATCTATCTATCTATCTATCTATCTATCTATCTATCTATCTATCTATCTATCTATCTATCTATCTATCTATCTATCTATCTATCTGTATCTAAAATACTGTGCATTAATACATAGAATACAAATGTAAAAATAATTTATTGAGGAATTCCTGGAACATTATATGAAGAACTTATATTTATAACGTAAACAACATGCATTGAAGTATGACAGCAGCAGTTGTGCAATATTGAACATGTTATGACACGTCATGAGGGTCAGTCGTTGGGGGAAGCACTCTTCACTCTGTTAGCTTCTTTTTGTTTCACCCTCTAGCTGTTCATAGTGATTGCATACAGGCAATGGTTACTATCAGAAGAAGGCAGTGAATGCTAGTTCTGCTTTTGTTATTTAACTCAACCAGCCTTAACTACAGTTTTTGGACATCATAATTACTAACTAAAAACCACTGCAGCTGCCCTGCTGTCGTATACCTTCTTTTATAGGTGGCACCAACTTATAATAGCTGGGAGCTTTTATCATACAGACAAAAGCAAAGACATAATTAAAAATAGAGTAGGTGGATCCAAAATTTGGTAATTAAAAAACGATATTGACTCTTCTGAATCAATATGGTGTAAATGGCAATATGTCAATTGTGTTTCTGGGCTCTAATACCCCTTTTCCACCGAAAAAAAGAACTGGTTCGGAACTGGTGCTGGTTCAAAGTTGGTTCGGAGTTGGTTCAACTTGCGAACCCGTTCAGAACCTGTTTGTTTTTCCACTGACTAGAGCGCCCAGGGAACGACATCGTTACGTCACTGTGCACGCCGCTAGAAACGCTTGCAAATACATTGCTTTGGGATTATCTCTAACTCGTGTACCAAGAAAATTTTAAAAACAATTGAAATATGTAAGTCTTTTAATCTTTTCGTTTGATACGTAATCTTTTCTGATAAGTTACGTACCCCTGTCTTGTGTCTTTTTTCTTTCCATTTATTTGTTCTATATCGTGACTGTTTTCTAATCTTCTTTGCTTATGTTTCAAATAAAAAATAAATAAATAGGCCTAAATAAAAACGCTTGCGTGTTTCTGCAGTTTCTCCTGGCTTTGCGAAGGTCAGAAAATATGTTTAGAACACATCTAAACCCGCCCCAAACCCCGACGTAAACATGACGTGCTAAAAGAACGGTTCTAGTCCAGCAAAGAGATGGTGCCGCTTTGGAACCAGTTTTCCAGGCCGCGAACCGGTTCTTTGGCTGTCGAAACACAAAGAACTGATTCGCGCGCAGGCACCGGCTCCGAACCGGTTCTCAAAACGCTTTGGTGGAAAAGGGGCTTAAGTGGCGTGTCTATCGTGATGGGGGCGGAGTGAGAGTAAGCCAAAAAGCAGTAAGGGGCGTGTCAATCGTGATAGGGGAGGAGTGAGAGTAAGCCAATCTGCAGTGGGGGGCGTGCTCATCATGATGGGGGAGGACAGAAAGCCAATCAGCAGTAGGGGGCGTGTCCACTCATGATGGGGGAGGAGAGAGTTAGCCAATCAGCAGCAGGGGGTGTGTCTACTTATGATGGGGGGACGAGAGAGTAAGCAATCAGCAGTAGGGGGCGTGTCCATCGTGATGTGAGAGGAGTGAGAGTAAGTCGCTTTATTCTTCACTAAACATTACTTTGCGACACTTCTTCTTGCATTGCGTGTTTCTGCATTTTAGGAGCGGAGCAATGAAGCAAGAGGTGTGTTTGTTTGGGCTGATTTCTCATAAATCGCTCACTGCTCCTTTAACATGGAACAAGCCTTTAATAATGATGTCGCAGAAAAAAATCAGAGGCAGGTCACGCTTTTACTTTATTCAATTACCCAAAAACACAGATCAATGACTTGTTGGGTGTATATAAATAAAGATCACCAAAGGAAATAAATTAATCCGGTGCACATTTTTTTAATACAAAAAGACTTGTTTGCAAAACTGTACAAATATCTTTTTTATTATTATTATTGGGTGTATGAAAGAAGAAATAAGAGAGCTGAGAGTTAAAGGTAAAAGATTTCTAAAGGTGAAGTGAGTAATTTTTTACATGTTAAATTATTTCTGGCATATGCAAACTATAAATTAATAAATAATAGCTTGATTCCTCCCCCCAAAATAGTGTAAAGATTGTAGATCAGTTTCTTTGAGAATCCAATTGGCTCAACCAATTGCGTGAGTTTGGGGGTGTGGCTTTCTTTTTGTCTGACCAATAGCAGACGTTTGGGAAACATGTTTGCACAATCAAAAAAAATTGCACACTTCACCTTTAAGGAATGTTTAAGGGTGTAAATGTGTATCTTAGCATGTGAAGCGTGGTGCTCTTACAACAGAGACAGTAACTGTACGTAGCACAGAATGTGGCAGAGGCTGGACCTGGTGCCGGGATGTAAAGGCTGAAGGGGCATCAGACAGATTAGATTTCACAGTTAATGTTACAAACATTAATTTTCATCCGTTTGGAGTGCAACTAGGTGGAGAGTTTACACTCATCTGATTAAAGTACACACAGTTTGTATACACAGCTTACTTACATTACCAAACAATTAGTCTAAGTAAATGCAATGTATAAAAAAATGGGATTCAAGCGAAACGTGAAAAATAGACACAAATCAATTTAACAGAGCTCAATAAAATGATGTGGTGCACAAAACGTGGCCTATGGTACAACACATACATCCGATTGACACGCTCATAAGCATCCCCAGTTTAGAAAAACGAAAACTCAAAATCAGTTATAGTCAAACCTCAAACCTGTGCACATGAATGATGTGATGTGAGCATCACTTTATTTTAGCTGCCTGAAACACCAAACCATTTTTTTTATTTACTTTGTCAGTAAATTTTCCAGGTCTAGAATGATTCATTTATGGATGTTCTTCCAAAAGAAAATAATGTTTGTCTTAAAGAGGACCTATTATGCTTTTTTTATGCTCTGAACTCCCTGAAACGCCTCGATTGCAGTCATGATCAGTTTCTTTCAGGAACAAACACGTCAAAATATCTTTCATTAGTAGTGTGTTCAAACCCATTTCTGAAACACACTCGAAACTGTTCAATCTCAACACGCTAATCCAGCCGACCAATCAGAGCACACTGAGCTTTCAGAAGGCGGGGCTTCCAAGAGACAGGAACTAAACAGAGCGTTACTGACAGACTGGGAAGAGAGGAGCTGCAATAATGTCGAAATAAGGGAAAAATAATTCATGAAGATTCTAGTTGCAGGGTTTGTAACAGACTTTGTAACAGGGCATAATAGATTTTCATCAAAATGTTCAATTTAGCTCCACTACCGAAATTACTTTCCTATTGAGCTCTCCTCACCTAGGCAGTGCAGGCTATTGGTTAATGTTAATAACTCAAATAACTTTAAACATTAAAATCTCACAGTACTACAAGGCATCCAGTGCTGTTTGCAAAGAGCATGAATGATTTCACTGCAAGGTCCGATGAGGTTTTCATAACATCATCAATATAAAATGACAGCCACATGTTTACACACTTGCTAATGAGGGTTGTGCAAAATTCAGAATGGGTTCCCTTTCAATTTACAAACGTGAATCAATCAATCAATCAATCAATCAATCAATCAATCAATCTATCTATCTATCTATCTATCTATCTATCTATCTATCTATCTATCTATCTATCTATCTATCGCTATTCTAGTTATAAATTACTGTAGTCACTTGAATTTCTTTGAATTTCAATCTCTTCCTTATATTCAGATTTGAACTGCAATTCTGCATCTGTCTGCTACCTCAATTCAAGTTCAATTCAAATTCGGGAACCGAATTGTAAATTAATGTAAATGAATTTTCAATTCAATTCTGTATGGTGCACAACCCTGTTAGTAACACATGGTGAAAAGGTCATTCACTATACAAGAAAGAAACTAGCCGACCTTGGGTTACTGCATTTTTGAAAACCTTCACAACAATAAAGATGTTGTCTCTCTTTATTGTTCTGTTGCAGATGCAGTTCTTGCTTTTCTCTCCTCAGAAACGAAGAATCCAATCCGCCTTTGATGGCAAACTGTAAGAATGTCTAGTGTCTGAAAGCATTGTGTTGTTGTGTCTGGGCTGGGGCGACAGTAATGAAAATGACGGCTCATGTCGGACTGTGCATTACGTCTAGCTGGTGGAGAAATCCTTGCGAGGACAAACTGGACATTAAATATGAAAAAAAAAATGCTGTGGTCGAGTTTTTGTGTGTATGTCATTGAATAACGCAATTCTTTACGATGCATCCAAATGTTATTATAAGAGCTGGTATCAAGAACGTGTCCAAGTTTAGAGGTCTTTTCCTAAAGGGAATTCTTGATGTGCACTTCCCAACTATCCCAAGTGCATAGTGAACATGACTCAAAGACAACCAATAGGTACTCCATGTGATGAATATAAAAACTTAATCAGTACTATGAACAAAATAGAAAAAAATAGACATGCCTTTAACCAAAAGAAGAAAAAAAAAACTGTGCATGTATTTACATATGACTTGAAATATCTGCAGTAAAAATCGAGTTCTGCATTGCAGCCGAAAGCTGATCGAGACTTCTTCATCGGTTCCCGAGGAAATAGGTCAGGTTGAGGTTTGAGGTCTTCCACCCAAAAAATCCGTTCGAATCCTCCACCCACAGTCCAAACAAACCCTCGGGCAAGAGTGAGACGCCTACCTGCGGTTTCTGGCGTTCGAGATCTTCGAGCAGGCTCTCTAAAAGTGCTTCTCGTTGTTTGTTTGAGCGGTTGGTGGAGGCCCTATCGGCAACATGGAGGATGATGGAGGATGAGGGGTTGGAGGTGAGTAAATCTAGACCTGCGTGGAGTAGGAGCGGTGTAGAGTGGAGGAGTGTCCCGCGGAGTGGGCGGCGCAGTGGCGCGCGTGCTGGGACGGCTGGTCTAGACTTCGCTGGAAATGGAGCGAGACGGTATGAGGACATCGGGGGGGACGGGGAACCGATGAGGCTGATGGTCATGTGATCTCAGTGAATGAAGATCCCCTTGGAGTCTGTAAGGGGAGAGAGAGAGAGTGTGAAGGGAGAGAGAGAGAGAGAAAGGATGAGAAGACTGGAAGATGGAAACGGCGTAAATTAAAATTAAGTGATGCACCGAAATGTATTTTTAACCAAAACACTTGTTTAATTAACACTTGTCCAAAACACAAAACACAAAACTATGCTTCTACTCCAGTTTGTTGATGAAATATAAACATTTAAATGGTTTCTGTAATATTATTCAGACATTACATAATGAAGACATCACAACTGGTTAAGTATTATAAAAATGTAATATACTGCACATATTTATTAAAATGCTCCTTTCTATAGTACTTTTAGCTAACAATCGAGTTTATGTTGATTGAATGGTATTCTGAGGTAAATGTAACGCTGCAGTATATTGATTTCAAGCTGATTTATTGGCGCTGATTGAACGATTAAATTAGGCGTGACGATGTACTTCGGTTGTACCGTTTCTTTCAGCATACCTTCTGATGTTCATTCATGTTTATTTTGTTCTATAGGCGCTGAATGAACGATTAAATGAGACGGTAATGATGTACTTTGGTTGTACCATTTCTTTCAACATACCTTCTGATGTTCAAATTATGTTTATTTTGTTCTATAGGCGCTGAATGAACAATTAAATGAGACGTGATGATGTACTTCGTTTGTACCGTTTCTTTCAACATACCTTCTGATGTTCATTCATGTATTTTTTGTTCTATAGGCGCTGATTGAACGATTAAATGAGACGTGATGATGTACTTCGGTTGTACCATTTCTTTCAACATACCTTCTGATGTTCATTCATGTTTATTTTGTTCTATAGGCGCTGATTGAACGATTAAATGAGACGTGATGATGTACTTCCATTGTACCGTTTCTTTCAACATACCTTCTGATGTTCATTCATGTTTATTTTGTTCTATAACTAGTAGAAAAGAGAAAGAGGTGATCAGTTCACTGGACGCTTAAACTGAGGCGGCTGCGATCTGTCAGGCCACATTAAGAGCGTCAGAACGATGGTTTTATCGTTGCCCACACAGCTGACATGTTTACCTGTTGTAGCTTATCCAAGTTTTGTGAACGAAATAGACACTGACGCAGTTAAAACGCATCGTTGGAGAAGCGCTAGTTAAACGTCACTCTTTCAGCCAGAAATTTTCGGTTCATCACTAAACAAAATATAAGACTGAGGGAGAAAAGGGATGAGTGAATGGTCAATGTGATAAAGAGAGGGAAAAAAAAGTCAAAGCAGTTTCAAAAGTGAGGAGGATGAGGGTGGCCTACGAAGGGAAACTCACACAGTCGTAATTTTTCACATCTAATTGCCTTCCGCCTTTGACGTTCCACATGCTACACAGTCCACTTTCTACAGGCGTTGAGGAATCAATGAGTTAATGGCTCTAAATATTTTGTTGCTTGTCAGAAACTCTGTTATAAAAGTGATAGAAACGTCTCTTTAGGACAAAGAGCAGAACAATCCTCCAGAGTGTCAGTGGGTTTTGCAGGGTTGGTGTTTGGGTTGTGCAGGTTGGTCATGCTAGTAAAGGGAGAAGGAGGGCTGGGTGGGTCGAGGGAGTCACATTAGGGTCCACTGGGTCAAAAAACAGAAGGACAGGGTGGGGCGTAATCCATCCCCCTTATGTGTGCAGTCCTGCCACTAACCCACTCCCACCCCTTACCTGAGTGCCACTTAACTTTTCAAGTGGACTCTCTACGCAGGGCAGCGCCACCATGGGCATGCCCAGCACTGACTCAGGACGCTGGGGTCGCACTGGTGGGGGTGGGGGCTTTGCCTGCTGGAAGTTGTTGATCACGCATGTTACCTAGAGAGAGAAAGAGAGAGAGAGAGAGAGAGAGAGAGAGAGAGAGAGAATAGAGCGAAGGAAGATAGAGATCGGCGGAGAGTGTGATGAAGAGAGGGGTCACTTGGGCCCTGTTTACACCTGGTATTAAGATGTTTTCGTCGATCGGATCACAAGTGTACACGGGGTCTAAAATGTTTTGTCTTGTCCACTTTCGACCACTTCCAGAGGTAGTCGAAAACGCATTCGACCGGATTGCTTTTCATTGTAGATTGTAGATTGAAAGATATGAAAAAACACATACATTTACCCACCCATAGACCCTCCCCTTGAAGAAATCAGGACAGAAGTGGTTGAAAGTGGACAAAAGAGACGGATTAAAACAGCAGGTTTAAACGAGAAAGTGTGCCCCTCGTCTACTTGTGATCCGAATTATAATACAGCCACTTTTGATGAATTTAAAGTCCTCTTGTGTAATGAAATTTGTAAAAAAAAAACAAAAAAAAAAACTTACTGAGCTCAAACTTTGTAAACTGTAGTGTATATGCATTTATATTTATATATATATATATATATATATATATATACATATTATATAAAAACTGCATACATGCGTGTCATTATCTTGTCATTTCAGTGTTATTTTATCCCACTACACACACTCTCACCAGAAAGACAGCGATGGCTCCACCGGTGAAGTTTCCAGCGAGGACGTCGGCCCAGTGGTTGCGGTATTCAGCCACTCTGACCACGCCCACCAACATGGCCAGACACAGCAGAGTCAGACTGAGCGTGGGTTTGGTCAGACGCGTCCCTTTAGTCCTGAACACCAGCGTCACGTACATCTGCAAGGACAGGCAGACAGCGGTAAAGAATAAGACTGATACAATTACACACACACACATGCACACATCTGGTTCACTCTCTTTGTGGGGACTCTCCCTTACACTTACTCTACCCCTTAACCCAACCAGTACAGAAAACATTCTGCATTTTTACATTTTCAAAAAAGAAAAAATCACTTAGTATGATTTATAAGCGGTTTTCCTCATAGGGATCAATAATAATTTTCAGGATTCTTTGATGAATAGAATGTTCAAAAGAAGAGCATTTATGTGAAATATAATTTTTTTGTAATATTATAAATGTTTTTACTGTCACTTTTGATCAATTGATGCATTCTTGCTGAATAAAAGTATTAATTTCTTTAAAAACAAATTCTAAACTTCTAAAATTCTAAACAGTAGTGTCAAGTACACACACACACACACACACATTTTCATGATTTGTAATCACAGCATTTTTCTTTTGTCAAATCAACTTTATGCAGTTCAGATAACATAATATTTTGAGTTTCTGGTGATTAAATTAATTTCCTTCATTGTATTAACTATTTTTTTTTCCATTTCAATGAACTTAAAATTAAGGCAACCAGGTTACTTATTTTTTTTAAGTTAAACCAACAATATTTTTTTACAGTGTATACACTCTAAAAAAATGTTGTTGTTTTTTTAAATGTTATTTGTAAGTAACGGTTCCATTTAGTACCATATCGTCCTGAAGAACCCTTTAAGAAACTTTGTGTTGGAGTTTAAGGCTCTTTATTCCCGCCTTTTTGTTTTTCAAATCTGTAACTGTCAATCCTCCTCATTTCTGATTGGAGCTCAGCAATACAAATATACACCATCTGTCGACATACTCTTAACATGTAAATTATTTCTTCCTTAAAATGTCTATAAATTATAACTTTAAAAATTGTAACTGGTTTCTTACCAATAATGTCTTTTTCTCTTTTTAGTTTAACTAACAGAACATATGGAATTTATGATCCATGTTGTTTGATTTTTTACTTTATAACTTTATGCCTCAACATACCTAGTCACGAAAATAGATAGCCCATTCATATATGGTTGAAAATGTTAATGTTTTAGAACACCATTAAGGTCCTATAGCACTTTCAAAGCATGGTTCTTTATGAAACCTTATGAAAGTGGGTCTATTTAGCACCAGAAAGGCTTCTGCTATTGTTACAAGCCGAAGAACCCTAATTTGGTATGGTTTAAAACCATTTTTCTTAAGAGTGTACATACACATATTAAATAACCTCGGCCATCTGCTCACGTTCGGATAATCCAATCATATTTATATTAATTTACAGTTTATTAACACTTTATTTGTCTAAAAGAAGGTTAAAACCTTACAGAAACGGTCTTCAAAATTCTGAAAGGTAAAAGGCACCAGTTTTACAGAACGACACTGATGCGGTGTGATTCCTGACACTCTTGACACCAAGACTTGCTTGTCTGACAAGATTTACCAGAAGGAACATGTTCAACCAGTTTCTTCATTTTCTGCTGACATGGCCACACCGGTGCACCAGCTAGACCAGTGCAAACTACCATTAATGAGCTTGAAAAACACTGACATTCAAAGAGGTGTGACTGTGAACTGCTCTTTCCAGCAATTACTTTTGTGTCCTGGAGTTTGTGAGATTGCTCATGAATCCAAAGATTTAATTTTCCGATTCAGTCACAAAATCACTAAAATGATTAAAGTGGTTCTAGGTTCATTACACTCACCACGGTATACACTGCAGAGTAAACACTGAGGGCCGCATCTTTGGAGGGAAAGGATTTGCGTGCAGATGCGACTATGAGAGGGTTCCCTGTGCAGGCTTTGCGCTCAGTGACGTACTGTAAGTTGGAATGGCATCCCAGCGCTGTGTAGTTCGGTCTGCACGCTGACAGGAAGTGAGGCGTCTGGGTTCCTGTCACCACCTGTCCAGCATTGGCGAAGATGGTGGTGGTGAACACGCCGAAAGTATAGACACCTGAGTGAGAGAACAGAGGTGAAAGGATAAGAAACGCATGCCAAAATATTTTTGCTGATAAATTGGAGAGCATAGGCCAATTGCATAACATAGCCACTGTTATGAACTAGTCAGCAGACCAACTAGTAACTCGAATCCGATCAATACCTTTTTATGCAACTGACTTGCTTTTAAAAGGTTATGACCAGACTTGAAGAAAAAAATTATATGATAAATAATATGATAAAAAAATTAAGAACTTGTAAGAATAGCCATTTATTACGTTTATGCAGCCAAACAATCTTATATTGAATATTTAAAATCTAATCACATAAAATATATTAATATAATATTATTTAATATTATTAATATTATCCTCCATATTCATTACTGGTTACTAAATAAAATTATTAATCTTGTCCATTATATGTGTTATTGGTAAAAATGCTAAAAAAAAAGAAAAAAGAAACAAGTCGATAATATTGTATATCATATAGGTCATAATTGGAGTTATAACCAGACTTGAAGAAAAAAGTTATATGATAGATAAATAATATGATAAACAAATGAAGAACTTGTAAGAATAGTCATTTATTAAGTTTATGCAGCTGGCCAGACTTATATTGAATATTGAAAATATAATCACAAAAAATATATTTATAATATTATCCTCCATATTCATTTCTGGTCATAAAATAAAATTATTAATCTTGTCCATTTTATGTGTTATTGGTAAAAAAAACAACAACAAAAAACTAGATAATATTGTCCATCATATGGGTCATAATAAAATAAAGAATATTTATAATATTGGCAATTATATTTGATTATTGGTCATAAAATTTAATTTGGTTTAAAAAGTAAATATGTGTCCCACTGTGTGACACTTCATCTGAAATTAAATATAATTTTTCAAATTCTTGTCCATTTATTATAAATGCGGTTCTTATGAACTTGAATTAATTGATAAATAACCTGGAATATTTGTATTTTAAACAGAAAACTTGGTATTCAGTTACAGCAGTTAAAAATATATATTTACATGCATTCCCTTATATTTTCACCTAAAATATTGAAAAAATACCCATTAAAACAAACTGCATAAAAATAAAGGTTCTTCAAATGCCATCCATGGAACTTTCTCTCTATCAAAACATCTTTTGGAACCTTTATTTTTAAGACTGCATGATGATGACTTTAATATCACAATTTGGAGCATTAAAATGGCTTTTACACCCATTATGAACAAATATATTTTCTCCATTCTCCTAAATCTCCTGACCCTCATCCTAAAAGGTTCTTTGTTGGTTCTTCTTCACTGAATGTACCTAGGAAGCGTATGATGCGTCTCAGCAGGGGGTTGAAGTAGCAGCAGTCAGCAGTGACTATGGTCTTCTCCTGCGTGCCCTCTGACCTCATGAAAAACGCCATCACCTCGCCAGCCAGGATCTGAGGAGGAAAACACACACGAACGAATCAAACAGTAGCTTTGCTTCCACCCGCCAGAACATCCTCCACCCCATTTGTTTTGGCATCGTTGTTGCTGCGAGTGCAGGGAAACATTCTTTAGTTTTCTGCCTACATAAGGATTTAATCATGAGTTGCTAATAGTCCCTCATCTTCACTGTTCTCAAATGCCAACACCAGAACCTCATTATTTCCGATCTCCCTGGTAACGGTTAAGACGAGTAACAGCTCATTGACGTGACTAATTCTGCTTAACAATGTAAGAGCTACACACACATCAGTTCTCTATGCGTTTAAACACTCATACTGTATGTCTCCTCTGAAACGCAAACAGTAAAAGCTCATTTATTATTCACGTTTATAATAACACAGCTCAATTCTGAGTGGCCAATCATGTCCTTCTGTGTTTAAAAACTATGAACAATACTATGTTGAGCGAATGAAACCATCAAAACGCAAAAGACTTTTATAATACACACATAAACCATATAAGGGACTGGGAAAGAAAACGTTGTGTTGTGAAAATTAGGGATGTCTAAAATATCGGAGACATATTTGTATATAAATAACTTAATTTGTATATAAGTAACATAAAAAGTCAAGTTGTGAGCAGTTTTTTGAAATTATGCAATTCATGGAAATTTGACTACATTTCAATTCTTTTATTTTTTAAGAGCATTCCAACCCGATCTCACGGGAATTCGTACGAATTTTACAAGGTGGCTAATTTGTAACAATTCATACGACCTCACTCGTACGAATTAGTACGAATTAGTGCGATTTTGCTAAATCGAACTGGCCAATTCGTATGAATTCGTACCAATGACCTACCCCTTACCCCGCCCCTAAACCTAACCATCACGTGGGTTTAGACAAATCATACGAATTCGTACGAGTGAGGTCGTACGATTAGCCACTTTTTAATCACTCGTACGAATTCGTACAAATTGGTCGTGAGATAGGGTAGGAGCATTCACATTTTAACAACATTTACTTGGGTACAATAAACCTTTTAAAAATAAATAAAATACACAAATTATAAAAAAGAGTAACACTGAAAGCCATGTTGAAAAAAAAGTATTGAATGGGATGCATGAGATCATTAAAAAAAGTAACACTAAAAGTCTTCTTAAATATTTGCATGTTGTTGTGATTCTGCAATCCGTGCAAATATTACTATAGTTCAATTTTTGATTTAAAGTGCGTTAACATTTTAAAAACCTTTACTTGTGTACAAATAAATGAATTCTGACTTGTGATGAATCATATGAACTGAGCTGGACAATGACATCAGTGTTTTCTCCAAAGCTGCTTTATAGATCAAAACTGATTAAACGCTGGACAACAATTGAAATGCATCATTTTCCTGTTTATGACTGTAAAGATGCTTTGAAACGCTGAACGAAACATCTGATCCATACTGGTAGACAAGCACTTCCCTGGTGACAGAAGAACAGGAGACCACAAACACAGACATCAAATCCATGAGCTTAAACTGGAGGAGACAGACAGATACGTCAGGGACGAGACAGGGACACAGCGTTCACCTCACACATCTCCCAGTTTAGCACCTGAGCGCTGACACAGACTGACATCAGTGAGGAAATGACCAACAGTCAGTCTATGTGACTCATGCAGCAAGAGAAAGTTTGGAGGGCTTGGAACGATAAGGGTGACCGATTTTCATTTTTGGGTGAACTGTTCTTAAAAGCCAACTTTGATGTCGCTGTGATTCTGCATCTAATATGTGTTGGTGAACATCAGTTCAAGTGTGAATAACGCACCATTAGATGAGATAAAGCCGAGTTTCTAGATCCTTCTATCAGCTTTAAGAGCCTGTCATGGGTGATTAGGCTTGTGGCTCATGATTCTCATAAAAATAATCCTGTAAAAAAAAAAAAAACGGTAAACTACTGGCAGCTGTGGTTGCCAGCATCATACCATAAAAATATGGTGTGTTACTGTTTTTAAAATGAACAGCTAAATACCCTTTTTTCAGCTACAGTAAATAACTAATTTAACTACAGTTCAGCTGTCAAACCTGTATTTAGCTGTTCATTTTAAAAACAGTAACACGCCATATTTTTATGGTATGACCACAGCTGCCGGTTTTCTTACAGTATTTAAAATTAACAGCTAAATACCGTTTTGTCAGCTACATTATAACTAATTTAACAACATGTTATAGCTGACAAAACGGTATTTAGCTGTTAATTTTAAAAACAGTAACACACCATATTGTCACAGCTGTCAGTAGTTTACCGTTTTTTTACAGTATTTAAAATTAACAGCTAAATACTGTTTTGTCAGCTACAGTATATAACTAATTTAACATCATATAGCGTAGCTGACAAAACGGTATTTAGCTGTTAATTTTAAAAAACAGTAATACACCATATTTTTACGGTATGATTCTGGCAACCACAGCTGCCAGTAGTTTACCGGTTTTCTTACAGTATTTAAAATTAACAGCTAAATGCCGTTTTGCCAGCTATAATATATAACTAATTTAACATCATATTGGCATAGCTGACAAAAGGGTATTTAGCTGTTAATTTAAAAAAAAAAAAAACAGTAACATACCATATTTTTACGGTGTGATTCTAGCAACCACAGCTGCCATAGTTTACTGGTTTTCTTACAGTTTTTAAAATGAACAGCTAAATACTGTTTTTGTCAGCTACAGTATAACTAATTTAAGAACATAAACTCTAGCTGACAAAACGATATTTAGCTGTTAATTTTATATACTGTAACACACCATATTCTTACAGTATGATGCTGGCAACCACAGCTTCCAGTAGCTTACCATTTTTTTTACAGTATTTAAAATTAACAGCTAAATACCGTTTTGTCAGCTACAGTATATAACTAACTTAACAGCATATAGTGTAGCTAACAAAACGGTATTTAGCTGTTAATTAAAAAAAAAACAGTAACACACCATATTTTTACGGTATGATTCTGGCAACCACAGCTGCCAGTAGTTTACCGTTTTTTTACAGGATTATTTTTTTAAACTAAAGCAAATCTCAACACCACAACGGCTCCCAACTAAAAGTGTCACCCGCAGGATCTGATGTCTAATTCCCACCATATAATCACTTGGCGGCACCATAGTAAGTTATACTGTATGAGATCACAGCACAGACAAGAAAATACACAAAAATACATAAAAAGGATAGCTCAAGATTTATATTTAGTTAACATTCATTCAAGTCAACATGACATCAAAATGAACCCCATTTACTTCTAAATATCTGTTGTAAACTTTAATGAATATCCTACATCATATTACAGAACTAAAATATGTTGTGAATGTCAAATACATCCAGATGTTTATTATTTAGGTAAATCTGATGAAATTGGGAAGTGATTCCACAATATTCAAAACATATTCAATGTTTCATATTCGACATATTCAACACTAACATTCAAAAGTTTAATTTTTTATTGTTTTTAAAAGCACCTTCTGTTCATCTCCTGAGCTCCACAACCCAAAACCAGACAGTCAAGCGATGCTTTTTTTATTATGTGTGATGAAACCGAATGAAAGCCTAGAGGCACTGCTGCTTTACCCCGTTTCATCTTCGCTCTTATTGTGACGCAAACCAGACCATAAACACACTCTTATTCCCTGAGGCTACGAGTGGACATTCCTGCCACGACAGAGAGGTGCACAGTTCAGACATATGTTGAAATGCCAGTGCATACACCCCCTCGAGTAGCCAGTGCCATCTGCTACGGTTTCTCAGGTGGCATCGCTGTTAACCCTCCACACACTCCCACCCTCCCTCAGCCATCAAACGCTTATATTTAGGCTGCTTTGATGCACTTTACACCTTGAATCAGGCTGAAACATAAAACAGCAATTTTATGTTGCTGATAAAGAATAAAGTTGGCATGAAAAAGAAGTTGCGATAGTTTTTTCTTTTCTATTGCGACGCATATTTGACTGAAATGGCTTCCCAAACAAGAACAAATGTAGGGCGGGGCTTGATTTTGTCCAGTGGGAATTGATTGGATGGCTGTGTTTTGCTATTGGTTGATCTCATGTGAGTGGCAGGTTGCCCTGCCCTCACGCCAGTAAACATCATGTTAGAGGGAGGGGAAGCTATTTTGAATAAAGATTACAAGGGTTATATAATAATATAATATTTATAATAAATACTGCACTACTCATGGAGAATTTAATGGGCGGGCGCGGTGTCCAGTCTTAACCGTCTAGTGACCTGTCTAATGCCTGAGCAGAGCACAAACATCCTCAAAATATTTATAGCCCATAAATGAAAGCACAATACTGGAAATTATCTGATAAAACTGTTTAGGGAAGTATTATGGCCAACCAAGCAACTAAAAGGGTTTTGATAGATGATGAAATTTGATTATTTTGAGACTTTAAACATACTTTAAACAGTATTTAAAATTAACAGCTAAATATCGTTTTGTCAGCTACAATATAACTAATTTAAAAGCATATACTGTAGCTGACAAAACGGTATTTAGCTGTTAATTTTAAAAACAGTAACATCATATTTTTACGGTATGATTCTGGCAACCACAGCTACCAGTAATTTACCGGGTTTTTTTTACAGTATTTAAAATTAACAGCTAAATACCGTTTTGTCAGCTACAGTACAACTAATTTAACATCATATAGTGTAGCTGACAAAACGGTATTTAGCTGTTAATTTAAATACTGTAACACACCATATTCTTACGGTATGATGCTGGCAACCCCAGCTGCCAGTAGCTTACCATTTTCTTACAGTATTTGAAATTAACAGCTAAATACCGTTTTTTTCAGTTACAGTATAACTAATTTAACAGCATATAGTGTAGCTAACAAAACAGTATTTAGCTGTTAATTTTAAAAACACTAACACACCACATTTTTATGGTATGATTCTGGCAACCACAGCTGTCTAATGCCTGAGCAGAGCACAAACATCCTCAAAATATTTTTAGCTCATAAATGAAAGCACAATACTGGAAATTATCTGATAAAACAGTTTAGGGAAGTGTTATGGCCAACCAAGCAACTTAAAGGGTTTTGATAGACTATGAAATTTGATTATTTTGAGACTTTAAACATACTTTAAACATAGCGCACAAGTCATATGTAACACTTTTGAGGTGGTTTCATGTCACTTTTGTCATTTTTGAAGCTTGTGATAACTGAATATGTTCATTGTATGGGAAATAATCCCATTTCCTACACATTTCCGATAACAATCAACATGATCTGATCATGAGTTTAAAGCATGAGTAGGTTACAGTCTGCTATCAAATTTTCAGAAAACACGGGTTACCAACAACACCTTTTGAAAATACCTTTTAGAGCAGGACGTGATTAATTATTAACGTCTTCTTTTTGACATTCTTTCAGCATTAGAGTTTGGCTCTTTTGATCATACGGTGTAGAGAGCGTTTATCTCTGGCTTTCTTTCATCACTCATGCTTACAGTCTCTTGTTCTCACATTTCCTTCAATTAATCATCACTGTAAACATTAATCATCTCTTTTACTCTTTTTTTTTTCATTATTTGATGAATTATATATTCTTCTGCAGGCTAGATGTGGCTATACATGCAGAACCCTTTGATAAAATGACTCGCTTTATTGATTTATGCCTGAAAAAATATTCATTTGACTATTTTTATTATCATTAACAATAACTTTGGCTGAGGAACATCTGGTTATGTGAAATCAATGTAACTTCTGTTTGTCTATGTAAAAAGTACTTCCCTGACTGTGTAATTGAACATTTAATAAGTCACTACATAGTCAAAAGATGGTGAAGATGAAAATGCTGCTTTGTATTGCTGAACGCAGTTGCACTTCAGACCTGAGCGATGTTGGAAATATTGTATTTTCCCCCCAAAAAAATATTTTTTATTTTTCCTCTAGGCTCTACCCTGTGATGTAACATGTTCTTGTAAGACCAAACCATATTAAATGTTAATCTCACAGCCCTCAATATGAATTGCACAACATGTGTATTTGAATGAGAGGTTGTTGTATTTTTTTTATCCTTCCTTGGGAAAACAAGGAAGCGTTCACATCTAACCAGGAAGCTCTAGAATCAGACATGATGATTAGAAACTGAAGGTCTGTCTGTCAAATATATTATAATATATAATATATAAAAACATTAAAAATCATACCCATACAAAACTTTTGTTTGTCAAAGTAGCCAGAGCAACTTTTCTCTATTTACCAACATGACATCATGACTTTTGCGTAAACATACACGCCACTTTCGAGTCAAGTGGCGTGTTTTCTCTACGTATTTTGAGTTATCCGCGTGTATCCGCGTGTATGTCTACGCCATTAACGTCCGAGTGATTCCGCGTGTCTGTACACGCCGTCAAATGTCCGCGCGAAACGAAGCAAAATGTAGATCTACATCTGTGGAGCGATCTCTTTTTTCCTAGGATGGTAAGGGAACAGTCATAAATGCCATTAACCCCAGTGACGGTTAGGTTTAGGGACGGGGTTGAGGTAAGTCATGTATTTATATATACAGTAATAACGTTAAGTCAACGGCGTTCATAAACATGCTGAAAAGCGTTTATGCGTCTTGATAGATGTAAAAAAAATGGAAATACGAATTGGCGTGTCATACACACGCTACTTCATGAGATCAGCATATGACGAGACACACACGGCGAATGACGCATACACAGTTTCCTGTGAAATCCAAACCATCATGTCTAAAATATAAATACTTATAATAGGCTAAAGATGAATTTGGAAGAAAGTACTTTACTACATCAATGAATCCTAAAAAAAAAATCACTGTTTCCTCAAAAATATGAAGCTGCAGAGCTGTTTCCAACATTGATAATAATCAGAATCACTGTTTCTCAAGGATCAAATCATCATATCAGAATGATTTCTGAAGGATCATGTGACACCAAAGACCAGCTTTGGTAATAATATTTCACAATATCTCTTGTTTTCAAGTTTTGTAGTGTATTTGATGTGTTATATTACCCCATAAAGAATCTGGGTGACCGTGTCACTCTGTTTTGGACAGAAAGTGAGTGTTTCGATGGACAAAAGCACCAGATGTTGCACATTTCATTCCCTTTCTCTGCCGGCCATCATGACATCTCTAAACCAGTCTCTGTCCCACTATGCCTTGCTTGATTTCTTGTACGTTCCCTTATTTAAGAATCTAACAGAAGTTCTCTTTCATATCAAACACCTTCTCATGCGTCTCTCGGCCTCGTCTTCACTTGGCTGGTACTTTGTGTGTGTGTGTGTTTTGGCTCTGACAGCTCATGCCAGTAGACTCGTACATGAAGCTCGTACTCCAGGCTTCAGATCGACTGCTGGCTCATACACTCGCCCAGAAACACATGCCCACATGTACCACACGTGGCTCTGACAGACTCGGAAAAAGGAGGGAGGCAGATCCGTGTGGTCCCACAATCTGTTGCCTCCGCTTCACAACGACACCAGTAAAACCAGCACCTACAATCCAGTTATAGCTGCTGTTCAGAGGTTGCTCTGGTTTATCTGATCATTCTGTTGCACCAATCATTGGACCGAACGCAATGATTGGACGGACATTGTTTTGATCCTGAGACAAAATGTACACGTTTTAATATTTAGACCACTTATATTATTGAATGCTTTTAGGACGTGAAGAGAGCTTCAACCAGAATAACAAAACGTGTTCATGAAAAAAAAAAAAAAGTCCTACGTCTTTATGATTTTTTTCCCCCACATTATGGTGATAAGAATGCATTATTGGCATTTTGAGAGTTGCGGTTAAAAAAAATGATATCACATTCAAAATGATTAGTCCGAAAATAACCTTCATTACATAATAAAGCCTGTTTTGTACATTTTTGAATTTTGGATTCTCTCTCACACACACACAAAATCACATGTAGCCCACATATATATCCAGATAATGAACGATGATTCATCCATCATCACTCGAGCTAAAGTTGAGCCTCACTTCTACCCACAAGCACACATGGAAATGAAGGGAAGACAGAGGCTACTCACGATCAGAGTAGGAATCGCAGCAATCAGAGAGTAGACGAGCACCGGCGGCACGTTACTGCTCTCATCCGGTCCAGGGTACGGTTTGGAGAACGTCTTATCGAAGCAGAAGAATCCCTGGATGTGTACGGGAAAGGTGTCCGTGTACTCGAAGTAGTACGCCAGGAGAACGGTTCCTGCCATGATCACCAGCTGAAAATAGAACATGATCCACGCTTTACAACCAGAGATGAAGACGCTCCGCCACAGCCTGTGTCACAGAGACACACACACTCACTCCGGAGTCGTGATCCTGAACGTTACATGCTGTTCTACCAGGAACGCTTCACAGAGCGAGCGAGAAGAGAGTGGAAAGCGGGGAAAGATGTGGAGAGAAACAGCGGGGAGGGACAGCGTGAATTTGAGCCTGAGCACACACAAATTGGCTCACGGTGTGTGTGTGTGTGTGGTAGGATGTGGATGACATTTTGGATGCGTGTGAAACATAACGAGGGTGTGAACACGCTCATTAGCGACTTTCAAAATGAGTTCGCTTTCATTCAAGCCTTTTTCACACTGTATGCTTCTCATCAAACCTGATCACACAAAGACAACAGGATTCGACACGAGCAAACCACAAATTACTAATGATATCATCTACGATTTTTCTAAACTGATGGCTGAACCATTTGGGGAAAACAATTAAATTTGATTGCGATATAAATGCATTATTTAGGAAAAAAAAAAAAAAATCAGGTTTGCTTGTTTTAGGCCTGCATGATTTGGCCAACACTTTTGTGATTATAAATTATTATACTATTTTTAATTACTCTAGAAATATCATAATATAAAATATTGTAAAATCTATTGTATATTATTTTATTAAATAATTTGAAAAGAATTAGGACTGTCAAACTAATCGCATCTAAAATAAAAGTTTGTGTTTAAATAATATATGTGGGTGCACTGTGTATAATTATTATATATATATAAATACACACACATGCTTGTGTATATTTAAGAAATATTTCATGTATATAGATGTATATATAATGTATATTACATATAAATATAAATATTTTATATATAATAAATATTTTTTTCTTAAATATATATATGCATGTGTGTGTATATATATATATACAAAATAATTATACACAGTATGCACACATATATTATGTAAACACAAACTTTTATTTTGGATGCCATTAATCACGATTAATCGTTTGACAGCCCTAAAAAGAACATTAAAATAAGCTAAACTATTAAAAATACTAAAATAGGCTATTAAAATAAATATAGAAATATTGTGTTTAAATGAAATGCATAATAAAATGAACAGAATAAACAAATAAAATATTCAAAAATACTATTGTAATATTTCACATTATTTTGATTAAATAATATGAAAATATGAAATAAATGTATAATTGTGTTATTATAGTTAATATGTGTGCGTGTATTAACTATTAATAATGTTTTAAAATATATTATAAAATAAATAAAAAAGGCTTAAAAATAAGAAAATAAGAAGAAATGGTTGGTAAATGGTTGGCATTACTGTAATGTCACTATGTAAAAAAAAAAGCATTTTCTTTAAATTTAGAAAACATCAGGCCATATTTTAGTAATAAGAATTTGATGTCACATGACAATATTACAGTTAAAAAATGTTTCTTTTGATTTTGATTGTATAATTAACATATAATTGGTATAATTGTGACATTGATTAGTGTTCAAATGTGAAGTGTAGTGTTTAGTGTTTAGGCCACTATATTTTAATACGATACGCATTTCTAATTCTCATTAGTGCACTTGTTTCCTGAATATTTTAAAAGCATGGATTATTCCTGGATTATTCACCTAGATCTCTCAACCCACACACACACACACACACACACCTTGATCCACGTGTCAGTCAAGAGTTCTCAATGTCTCTCGCATTTAAAGAGAGAGAGAGAGAGAGAGAGAGAGAGAGAGAGAGAGAGAGAGAGAGAGAGAGAGAGAGAGAGAGAAATACAAATACCGTTGCATATAATTTCCGTGGTGAAGAATTAAACATACAGGGTTAAAATATTCAGCAGTTTTGAATCCTATGTAATAGCATCAAAATAATAGTAGATTATAACAAACAACCAGACATTTCCATACAATGCTTTATAAAACACATTGTTCTAAAACAGCTTTACAGGAATCAAAGATGAAGAAAATGAAAGAAAAAGAGTTTAGGTTTAGTGCCATGCAATGCTGAAGTTGTCCACTAGAGGACAGACTGAAGCTTTGAAGATGACCAGTGACGCTTCATAAGGCAAGAATCACTACCATTGCTAGAGTAAGAAATTTGAACAAATCCATAACCATGAATATTAAACTTTGGTGAATAGCTGTTACAAAAATGAGTTTGTTGGGTTTGTTTGGGAGAGATGTGCTATTAGTTTTTTTTTTTCAAATGATCAGACTTATGATTTTGGCCAATAAAATCAAAGCAGTTTGAGGTCAGTAATATTTTGCTTTGTAAAGAAATGAATCATTATTCTGCAAGAATGCATTCAATTGTTCTATTCATCAAAGAAACCTGCAATTTTTTTTACGGTATCCACAAAAATATGAAGTAGCACAATTTTTGGAAACATTGATAATCAGAAATGTTTATCGAGCATCAAATCATCACATTAGAGTGATTTCTGAAGGATCATGTGACACTGAAGACTGGAGTAATGATGCTGAAAATCCAGCTATCACAGGAATATATTACATTTTAACGCATATTCACGAAAACAGTTATTCTTCTTTAAAAAATCTTTCCAAGCTCAAACTGATGGATGGATATTAGTATGTTAGTGAACAATATTTGCTCTTTCGCCATATTAATTTCATGTGTATGTGAACACATGCATAATAATTCATTCATTCACTAGCTGGAAATATTCCACCCACATTTTAAAAATAGTATCTCATTGGAACATGCTGCTTGTGTTTGGCATGGGTTAGTGAAGCCCACTGTGCCAGAATCCCTCTGTGGATCCGTGTTCGCTCAAAGAGTGTAATGAACGAGCCAGGAATATTCCATATGCCAACACGTTTCCCCACAGAAATCCGCTGTGGGATCATCAGTCAGTTCTAGATAGTTTAGCCTGAGATAAAAGGTCAGATTCTGAAAGGACTGGAGACATGATTGTACCAAACCGAAATAAAGAGCCATGGAAGACATGAGCAAAAGAAGTGGGTTCATGTGAATATTTGCTCTGTAATAAATGTACTTCTACACCCATATTGTGGAGCGTACAGCAAACAAGTTGAGACAGATCAATAGAGGCCCTCGCCGTATTAGCTGCGCTTCACAGTAAACAAAGCTGACAGCAGACGCCACGCTTTGGAGGAGGACACGCTTCGTTGTGTTTGGAGGACTGCGGAGGAAGGGACTTCCAAAGGACAAGATTCACTGCTGTCATGAATGAATGATGACAGGTGCGCTGTGATCTCGGGGAGAGCGTGGTGAAGCGAGGTCTGCTTCAGAAGGTGCGGCTCCTCGGAGGATTCTGACCTTCTTCTGATCCAGGATTCGAGAGCCTGTGAGACACTACATCTGGAGGACATGAAGCCTGAACGCCGAGAACTTATTTTCCATTGCTGGTGTTTAGGACTAACTATATTGGTTGTTAGAGGAAAAACTGAGAATTTTTTTGTTTTATTATTTTATGAATCATTTCAATATTTATAATTGCATCCTTGTGAAATACAAAAAGATAAAAGGACAGATAGACAGACGGACAGATGGATGGACAAATAGAACGACAGACAAACAGATGGACAGAAGGATGGAAAGACAGACAGATAGACAGAAACAGACAGGCAGATGGACAGACAAATAGAAGGACAAATAGATAGATAGACAGACAGACAGACAGACAGACAGACAGACAGTTGAATGACAGACAAACAGACAGATAGAAGGATGGAAAGACTGACAGATGGATAGACAAATAGAAGGACAGACGAATAGACAAATAAACAGACAGACAGACAAACACACAGGCAGACAGATAGACAGACAGGTAGACAGAAAAACAAACAAACAAACAAACAAACAAACAAACAGAAAGAGACATAGATTTACAGACAGAGACACAAATGGATATATAGAAAGACAGACAAATAGTCAGGGAGCCAAAGTCTCAAAAATGGGTTGAACCTGACATGGTCTGCCATACTTTTTATTTGTGTTTTTTCTGTTAACTTTGACCCTAAGAACAAATAATTGGAGGGTCTGCTCTGCCGGAAATATCGCGAAAAAAAATTGTGGCCATTTTAGTGTAAGCACCCTTTATTTTTTATCAGAAAAATGTGAAAAATTATTTTTTTCATCAAATTCTTAGTGGGTTGGGTAGGTTCTCAATAAATGCATTCCAGATACACAGAACACATGTGCGGACAACATCCACTGAAAAAATAATTCTTAAAACACATTTCTACATGATTTCGCATCAATTTAATGCAAAAAAACAGGCGTTTTTTCACTTATTTTCCACTATTTTCATCTTTACTTCATTGGCAATCAACTATTCCCTTAAGTTATGACATCAGGCAATATGCCATTCTTTTCACCAAACACTATACTCATTACACAGAAAAAATTATAAAAATCCAAACAAAATCAATGGATCTGTGATGATTTCACTACTAGTTGGCGATCAACAGGCTCAGAATTTCAATAGAATTTTAGACTACTCTCAAAATTCTTAAAAACATGCTGGATATTTAGCATCATGGCTCACTTACAAACACACACACACACACACACACATGATCTTAGTAATTTTTATGAGTTTGGAACAACCAACCAATGGTTACCAACGGTTACCAACAGACTTCGAAGCTGCTCATCATTGTCTGTGGTAAGTGATAGTGACTAATATACCGGTAGGTCTGCCCCAGAGTTTTGGGGAAAGAATGGTAATATGGATACTGCAATTGTAATTAACTGAAAGGACCACACCAGTCTTCAAACAATAATATTTCTGATGATTCCTCATCCCAAACATATCCCTGTAGCAGCAGCATTCATTCTCTACTAGTTTACTTAGCTAGCTTTAGCCGTTTTAGCTAATGTCGGTGGTTTCTTTAAACGGCATTACTCCTCACAGGTATGGGGTAGAGAGTAGAGACTTACTTTTTTTAAATGCTTAGGATATTATTCTCTAATAGAGGTATGT